GGGGGTGTGAAATTTTCAACATTCAAAGGGGTTTGGGATATCCGTTTAACCCTTTAAGTGGCAATTAATTAATGCACCCCGATGGCCCTACTTTAAATTAGTATTTTACTTTGTCTAATGCCAGACGATTTTACTCGTCAAGTGGAGAGTGCTTGCCACTCAATGGGTTAAGGCTCCAAATAATGCAAATCCTTTAGAACATAATGGGTCATTTGATGAAATGGATAAAGAGTCCTGAGTTGTGCCATTTGACTGCAGACATGACACTTTTTTCTAAGATACGGTAATCAATTATACATAACTAATTAGCATTGTTGTGTAATGTACAGTTATAACTATCAAATTCTCTAATTATTTAAAAAAATTTATTTAATTGTCATTATTTTATATGACAATTATGTTATATGGGTGTGATTGCATGCTCGTCACTTGCTCATAAACAATGCTTGTGAATTGTGATATTTGGTACTTGACTAGGCCCGGGGACCACGTCCATATTCATATTCCCACAAATAATGTCGAATTGACATTATTACTTCAAACTCCAGGTAACGTCGATCGATATTCAGTCATATTTTGACTTTTCAACAAGTTCACATAAAAACCCACCCACTCATAACATCGATTTGACGTTATTTGTGGCAACGTGAATATGGGCGTGACCCCTAGGTCTTTCAGAATTAATGGGGGGGGGGTTCTAACCAACTGAGCTATAGAGAGACAGTTATCAAGCTCTAACCAACTGAGCTACAGAGAGACAGTTGTCGAGCTCTAACCAACTGAGCTACAGAGGCCAGTTGTCGAGCTCTAACCAACTGAGCTATGGAGAGACAGTTGTAAAGCTCTAACCAACTGAGCTACAGAGAGACAGTTGTAGAGATCTAACCAACTGAGCTACAGAAAGACAGTTGTCGAGCTCTAACCAACTGAGCTACAGAGAGACAGTTGTCGAGCTCTAACCAACTAAGCTACAGGGAGACAGTTGTCGAGCTCTAACAGACTGAGCTACAGAGAGACAGTTGTAAAGTTCTAACCAACTGAGCTACAGAGAGACAGTTGTCGAGCTCTAACCAACTGAGCTACAGAGAGACAGTTGTCGAGCTCTAACCAACTGAGCTACAGAGAGACAGTTGTCGAGCTCTAACAACTGAGCTACAGAGAGACAGTTGTCGAGCTCTAACCAACTGAGCTACAGAGAGACAGTTGTCGAGCTCTAACCAACTGAGCTACAGAGAGACAGTTGTTGAGCTCTAACCAACTGAGCTACAGAGAGACAGTTGTCAAGCTCTAGCCAACTGAGCTACAGAGAGACAGTTGTTGAGTTCTAACTAACTGAGCTACAGAGAGACAGTTGTCGAGCTCTAATCACAAGTTCATGTATAAATACTATATATAAGGTAATGCCAATATACAATGTACGGATTTCAGGATTTGGGGCATCTTGCTCAATAGAATTGTTGAACAGATTTTTATTTTCCAATTTTCCCTAAAGGCAAGACAAACAGAAGAGTTTGTGCTCCCCAAGATAATCACAGATATCACAGGACAGACAACAGTTTCGTTTGGTGATGCCGTCATCTCCTCAAGCGACACAACTTTTGGAACAGAACTGTGCGAAGAAATGTTCACATCCAACTCTCCCAGCATTCATATGGGTCTTGATGGTGTTGAAATATTTACAAATTCAAGTGGAAGCTATCATCAGCTAAGGAAATTGCAAAAGAAAATTGATCTGATTAGAAATGCAACGAAAAAGGTTCGAATATAAAATCGTGCAGGCTTCTGATGTTAGAATCTCTGCTAGTCAAGGAATTCTGTACCCATAGTGAAAGATAGCACCCTGGCTCCTTGGGTTGCCATCCTTACTAGACCTCTAGGAAGAGCAAATGAAATTTAGAACAGATAGAGCTATCCAGTATAGGTTTCCTCCTGTAGCACTGGATCAATAAGAGATGATCCTTACTGGACCTCTAGGAAGAACAGTTTAGAACTGATAGAGCTATCCAGTATAAATAAAGTTAGTTTAGATTAGGTTTCCTCCTGTAGTAACGCTGAATTAATAAGAAATGACTCTTACTGGACTTCTAGGAAGAACAGTTTAGAACTGATAGAGCTATCCAGTATAAATAAAGTTAGTTTAGTTTAGGTTTCCTCCAGTAGTAACACTGGATCAATAAGAGATGATCCTTTCTGGACCTCTAGGAAGTGAAGTGTGACTGTTTGCATTTTTGGAGCGTAAAATCATTGTTTCTTTATTTTTTATCAGTCAGGTGGCGTATATATGTATTCAAATGTGCGAGGCTGTGATGGTGGTCGCGTATACTATGACGGATGTTCGATGATTGCCATAAATGGCGAGATCGTTGCCCAAGGAAAGAATTTCTCTTTGCAAGATGTGGAAGTTGTCACTGCTACAGTTGATCTAAATGACGTTTCGACATACCGGGGTAATCTTCATTATTATTTTGATTGGATCTGAACTAAATTTATTTAAACTGGAATACTGGATAGCTCTATCAGTTCTAAACTGTTCTTCCTAGAGGTCCAGTAATGATCATCTCTTATTGATCCAGTGTTACTACAGGAAGAAACCTGAACTAAACTAACTTTATTTAAATTATACTGGATAGCTCTATCAGTTCTAAACTGTTCTTCCTAGAGATCCAGTAAGGATCATCTCTTATTGATCCAGTGTTACTACAGGAGGAAACCTAAACTAAACTAACTTTATTTATACTGGATAGCTCTATCAGTTCTAAACTGTTCTTCCTAGAGGTGCAGTAAGGATCATCTCTTATCGATCCAGTGTTACTACAGGAGGAACCCGAAACTAAACTAACTTTATTTATACTGGATAGCTCTATCAGTTCTAAACTGTTCTTCCTAGAGGTCCAGTAAGGATCATCTCTTTTCGATCCAGTGTTACTACAGGAGGAAACCTAAACTTAACCTGGCTAACTTTATTTATACTGGATAGTTTTATCAGTTCTAAACTAGCTATTTTTCCTAGAGGTCCAGTAAGAGTCATCTCTTATTGATCCAGTGTTACTACAAGAGGAAACCTAAACTAAACTAACTTTATTTATACTGGATAGTTCTATCAGTTCTAAACTCTTCTTCCTAGAAGTTCAGTAAGGATCATCTCTTATCGATCCAATGTTACTACGGGAGGAAACCTAAACTAAACTAACTTTATTTATTTATTTATACTGGATAGTGGTATCAGTTCTAAACTATTCTTCCTAGACGTTCAGTAAGGATCATCTCTTATCGATCCAATGTTACTACGGGAGGAAACCTAAACTAAACTAACTTTATTTATACTGGATATTTTTATCAGGTAGTGCTAATTGGTTTCAGCAGCTCGGAGCAAAGTCAGACAAGGCATACTCCAGAATATGTTTGGATCAGTATTTCTGCAGCGATAACCCGCTGCTGCCCGCGACTCAGCCTGTGACATTGGGCGAGATAACGCCTGAGCAAGAGATCAGCCTTGGACCCGCGTGTTGGTTGTGGGATTACCTTAGACGAAGTGGCATGGCGGGATTCTTTCTACCTTTAAGCGGAGGTGAGGGATTGCGTCGCAAAATTTTACATTAGGGGCGGATCTAGCCTCATCTGCAAGGAGGGGTGCAGGTTTTCCATGGTGTGGTACATGAGGGAGCCTTACTGCCCATTCTCCTCTGCAGTCTGCAACGCTACTATCCCAACATTACCATTATTTGAGATGGCCGAATCTGCATGTTCGCCGTTTTGTTACGTTTTACATTATCTTTTGTTTATAAAGTTTCTATCGACTTTTTATCACGTATGCGTGACTGGACAGTTGCTGTAGCACAGTACAGTAAATTTGCTTGTTAAGGTATAGTATATTTGAAAATATGGCTGTATAACAACCTCAACTTATTTACATATTTAACCATGATAGTTAACTAAAGCATTCTGAGTATTTTCTCGTGAGCTCACAAATCAATTTAAATTGTTTCAAGAAATCGACATGGCTGTATAACAACCTCGACATGTTTACAAATTTGACCATGATATTTAGCTAAAGCATTGACTGAGTAGTTTCTCGTAATTAAATCGTTTCAAGAAATCGACACGCGCTAACAGTACAAGTTCCGCTAACCGCTATTCGAAAAGTAGAAAATGTACGGTCAAGCATTGACCAAATAGAGTGAACTAAAGTGCTTTTCAATATTTTAACCCTAGGAATTGATAGTTCGTCCGTGGCTTGTCTCGTTGCGTCAATGTCTCATCTCGTCTGCCGAGCTGTCAAGAACGGGGATAAACAAGTCTTGGAGGATGCTAGGAGGATTGTGGGGGATAGGTAAGGGACTTAGCATTAAGTGCTGAGCTCAATTGAGATAATGCTCTTTACGATACGGACCAAAATTAAGACGCTTTTTTAGAGAAAGCTCTAGGCTAATACCGGCATAACGAAAGATAGTCGTTTCGAACAGCGAAGTGTATTACCCACAAGTTGTAACAAACCTGCAGCAGACTTGTAGCAATGCTGTTCCAACAACTTGTCAACAGGATGTGTTCGCACTGCTTGTTTCCAGCTTGTTGACAAGTTGTCAACGGCTTGTTGGCAACTTGCTACAGGGATGTTGAGCCAACAGATTTGTTGCAAGTTGTTGCAACAACTTGTTATCGTCCTGCAATTCAACAATTTGTCAAACAAGTTTTGAGTGACTTGTTGCAACCTGATGAAATAACAGCATTGTTACAACTTGTTGACAAGCTCGCTACAAGCCTGTTGCGAACATATCTTATTGACAAGTTGTGAGATTTTTAGGTGTGTAGTTCAGACACAAGCCATGTCAGTGTCCTGATAAATATTCTTTTTCTTAGAGAATACATCCCAGTGGATCCCAAAGAACTGGCTAATCGTATTTTTGTCACGTGTTACATGGGAAGTGAGAATTCGTCAGAGGACACTCGATCACGAGCGAAAAATTTGGCGCAGGATGTTGGCAGCTATCATATGGGTAAAATATATTTTATGAAATAATATGCAAGAGGTTTAGGCATGCTGAACCGCATTGCTTATGACAACGACAACAAAGACACCAACGACGGTAACAAATAACAACGACAGCAACAATGGCAACAACAACACAATGACAACGCAGTGACAACAACAGCAATAAACAGCTACAACAACAACAGACAACGACAACAACAACGACGATGGCAAAAAATCACAATAACAGCAACAACAACAAATTATGCAAACAATTACATCAACAACAACAAACAACTACAGCAACAACTACAGCAGCAACTACAGCAGCAACAACAACAACAACAAACAACTACAGCAACAACTACAGCAGCAACTACAGCAGCAAACAACTACAGCAACAACTACAACAACAACAACAACTACAGCAGCAACAACAACAACAACAACAACAACAAATAACTGCAACAACAACATCGATTGGCAACAACAACATAACTGCAACAACAACATCGATTGGCAACAACAACAACAACAACAACAACAACAACAACAACAACAACAACAACAACAACAACAAACAAGAACGACAACAAGAAACACAACAAACAACTACAACAGCAACAACAACAACAACTACAGCAGCAACAACTACAACTACAGCAGCAACAACAACAACAACAACAACAACAAACAACTACTACAACAACAACAACAACAACAACAACAACAACAACAACAACAACAACAACAACAACAACAACAACAACAACAACAACAACAACAACAAACAACAACACAATAACAACAACAGCAGCAACAAACAAGAACGGCAACAAGAACAACAACAAACAACTACAGCAACAACAACAACAACAACAACAACAACACAATGACAATACCAATAAACACTACAACAACATTGACAACATCGATGGCAAGAACAACAACGCAATAACAACGACAACAGAAACAAACAAAAACAAGAACAACAACCACAAACAACTACTACAACAGCAACAACAACAGACAACGACAACAACAACAACGACAGCAACAGCAACAGCAACAACAACAACAAGTAACTACAACAACAGTCGACAAGATACTTTTGGGATTTTAGCTTACAACACCAGAAAGCTAATATTAATTTTTCGTTCTTTTTGTGTTCTTATTTAGATATCAAAATCGACACTATAGTGTGTGCATTTCTTGCTGTCTTCACGGCAATCACAGGCAAGCGGCCTCAGTTTAAAGCCAACGGTGGGACAGACAGGGAAAACCTCGCTTTGCAGAATATCCAAGCTCGCATCAGGATGGTCTTAGCTTATCTTTTCGCTCATCTTATTATGTGGTGTCGAGGAAGAAATGTCGGTCTCTTGGTGCTTGGCTCGGCTAACACTGATGAAAGGTAAACACATAAAAATCATTTGTAGAATCATACCGACACCCTACCGACGTAAACTAAAAAACAAATTTCGAAAAGACAAGACATCTTGAGAATACAATATATGAATCAAAACAAGACGCAGGTTGAGACTGTAAATTTTCGACTTTATTTCAAAGTCATCTTCAGACAGAATGAAATACAATCGAAACAAGATAATTAATAAAGAAATGAGTAAACTCTGAAACTGGATTATTTAGCTATATTTACAACAATGTTTTACACCATATCCTATAAGGATTAAGGTAGAAAGGAATGACCCGACAAGTAGAAGAAAATTAAGTTGGAGTGTTATGTGAACAGTTGTAGTTCTTTACTAGCTTTAAGTCCAGTGTTAAGGAAAGGTTTCTTGTCTTTGATCAGCAGTGCTTCAAGAAAAGAAAGAATGTTGTAGTTGGTAGATTTAGTAATGTGAAGTATTTTGTAGTTATTGAAAATAAGGTCTTCAATAGAAATTTCAATAGGTCTCAGAAAGCTAAGAAAGATCGTTGAGTAATGGTCTTGCAAAGTAGCTACCGACGTATTGTCGGCGTGATCTATAGTTTTATTGCAGAATTAATGTAAACATTAAGTACTAATTAAACTGTTCTATTTGATTATCTCTTTCAGCTTGCGAGGTTACATGACAAAATATGACTGTTCTAGCGCTGATATTAATCCCATTGGTGGTATTAGCAAGAAAGATCTGAAGTCATTCGTGTTTTATTGTGTGGAGAAGTTTAACTTTAGTTCACTGATCACCATCATGGGCGCAAGACCAACTGCGGAACTTGAGCCGTTGAGAAATGGAGTCGCACAACAAACAGATGAGGTAATTTTATATATACTGGATAGCTCTATCAGTTCTAAACTGTTCTTTATAGATGTCCAGTAAGGATCATCTCCTATTGGTCCAGTATTACTACAGGAGGAAACCTAAACTAAACTAACTTTATTTATACTGGATAGTTCTATCAGTTCTAAACTGTTCTTTATAGATGTCCAGTAAGGATCATCTCCTATTGATCCAGTGTTACTACAAGAGGAAACCTAAACTAAACTAACTTTATTTATACTGGATAGCTCTATCAGTTCTAAACTGTTCTTCCTGGAGGTCCAGTAAGGATCATCTCTTATTGATCCAGTGTTACTACAGAAGGAAACCTAGACTAAACTAACTTTATTTATACTGGTTAGCTCTATCAGTTCCAAACTGTTCTTCCTGGAGGTCCAGTAAGAATCATCTCTTATTGATCCAGTGTTACTACAGGAGGAAACCTAGACTAAACTAACTTTATTTATACTGGATAGCTCTATCAGTTCTAAACTGTTCTCCCTGGAGGTTCAGTAAGGATCATTCCTTATTGACCCAGTGTTACTACAGTAGGAAACCTAAACTAAATTAAACTAACTTTAATTATTTATACCGGATAGCTCTATCAGATCTTAACTGTTCTCCCTAGAGGTCCAGTAAGGATCATCTCTTATTGATCCAGTGTTACTACAGGAGGAAACCTAAGCTAAACTAACTTTATTTAAACTGTTGTACCTAGAGGCCCAGTAAGTAAAGATCATCTCTTATTAATCCAGTGTTACTACAGGAAGAAACCTAAACTAAACTAACTTTATTTATACCGGATGGCTCTATCAGTTCCAAACTGTTCTTCCTAAAGGTCCAATAGGGATCATCCCTTAATGATTCAGTGTTACTACAGGAGGAAGCCTAAACTAAACTAAACTAACTTTATTTATACTGGATAGCTCTATCAGTTCTAAACTGTTCTTCCTAGAGGCCTAGTAAGTAAAGATCATTTCTTATTAATCCAGTGTTACTACAGGAAGAAACCTAAACTAAACTAAACTAACATACATTACGTTCTTGTCGAATGGAAACTAAAACTAGGGCCAATGCAATGATGTTGAAAAGCAATATCAACGCAACTGGAACAACAAAGAATATCGCCAGCGCCCAAGGATTTGTTATCCAGCAGTACTGAGCATTCCCTGTTTGAAAAGATAAAAGTATAAGGATTGATTTTGACTTTTGCTGTTTAATTTGCTTTTATCTTAACTATATCTGTCTGGCAGCTTAATTTATAGCTAATTTTCATATACTGTAAATCTCGAAAACTCAATTTCTAAGAACTGCCTATTTTAAGTTTTAGGCCGATGACCCCTGAGTTCCACCTACCATAGCCGACATCCATAGCTCCTGAACTATCAATACTCAATGCTATCATAACCAGAAGAAGGGGTAAAACCCATGCGTAAAAAGAACGGAGAAGGAATGCTCGTTTCTGTGAGTCCGGTTGCGAGCGACGTCCTATATATAGGTTAAACAAAATATATTTAATATCTCACAAACACTATATTGATAAATTGAGCTATCCAGTATAAATAAAATTAGTTTAGGTTAGGTTTCCTCCTGTACTAGTAACACTGGATCAATAAGAGATGATATTTACTGGGCCTCTAGGAAGAACAGTTTAGAACTGGTAGAGCTATCCAGTATAAATAAAGTTAGTTTAGTTCAGGTTTCCTCCTGTAGTAACACTAGATCAATAA